AACTGTGGCTGCCCTGCCGGCTGGGAGCCCCAGGGGGCGCTGGGGAGTCATTACTCAGTGACTCGGGGGAGTCGTTATTTCCAGATAGCAGCACTGGAGCGTCCACACACGGCGATGTGAAAAGAACTCCTGAAATGAGCTATTCCTGGGGGTGTTCAGTGGCCACTAATTTGCTAGTCGAGTAGCCGATGGAAACTAGTCGCTAGGGAAAGGCAGTGGCCGCGCTCACTTCCCGGTCTCAGGACAGCACCCCGCCCCTCTGCACTCTGAAAGGGACAGAGAGGAGCCGCACACAGACGCTGGCTCTACCTCTGGTCCCCTGCTGGGCCTCAGGACGACCTCCCCCTGCCGCCACTCGGCCTTTTTAAAGAGACAGAGCGACGTCCCTTTAACAATGCAGGGTGGCTCGTGGGGGCGGAGCTTGTGCTGAGACCCAGGGACCAGCTGCTCCCGCCACTCCCGTCTGCCCCCACACCAAGTTACTCCTTTGTGCCCAGTAACAGTTGCATGGTTTATTCTGTTTTGTCTGGGTTTCTACCTGTACAAGGCCAGTTTAGCTCACGGGCTACCAGGGAAGGGGGTTCGGGCCCGCCCTCTCTCTGAACCCCGACCCAGGGCCCTGAGGTAGGGACCTAGGTCCCTACTAAACGGAGGGGGCTGTAATCCCTAAACTCCCCCACTCACGGGGTCCATGACCCTGCCTTGAGCCACTTCTTCCCCAGTTCCGTTTCCACGTCTGCCCGGTGGACCCGGGTTAAAGCTCACCCTGGCTGTCCACGTCTCGCTTACGCTGGCATCCGCCTTCCTCGGTCTCCGGTCGCCGTCACTCCTCTCCTGTATCTCCTCCTCCCCTCAGGCTTCCTTAGGCGCTTTTAAATCCCTCGCCCGGGCGTCCGGGCCTCTGCCCCCCACGGCGTCCCCGATCCTCCCCCCTTGGCTCGTTGGGATGATGTCCCCAGTGACATCCACATGCGTCTCCCACTCTGCCACCTGCGCTTCCTCCCGCTGTTCCCCGGGCTGGCTTTCCTGCGGCTCCCTGCTCCTGCCCCACAACCACCAAGACTTCTCGATTCAGCGTTGGGGGGCGGTTCCAGTGGGGGGCAGAGGTGCCCCGTCACACTGCCGCTTTGAAGTATCCCCCTTCTCACCCCCATGCTGCCTCTACTGGGGGAAGCAACTAGTCAGCTGGCCCTTAACATCCCTATATTAGTGCAGGGGAGGATTCTGCCCTAGGGGAGGGATGGAGCAGCAGGTGCAGGATCTGGGAAGGAATTGGGGTGCAGAAGGGGTTGGGGTACCAGAGCCAGGCTCTAGCAGGTGGCGCTTACCTAAGCAGCTCCCAGCGAGCAGGCCTCTAAGACAGGCTCCCTGCCTGCCAGCAGCGCCAGAACACTCCGCAGGGAACATCAGCTGGAGAATCCTCCATGGCGCCGTGAGCACGGGCATGTACTCGGCGCGGTTCCCCCCGTTCCCGACACTCGCCCCTTCTGCGGTGTGAGGGGGAGACCCTGGAGCACGTTTATCTCAAGTGCGCCAGGCTACAGCCCCTCTTCTGGCTCCTCTGGAACCTCTTGCTGGGGTTCTGGCTGCACTTCTCCCCTCACCGATTAATTTACACCCACCCCGTCCACGGCCCCACAAAGTCACGGGACCTCCTGGCCAACCTCCTCCCGGCTATGGACACAACGGCCATTCACAAGACCAGAGCAGAGTTGGCCGAGGGAGGGGCCCGCTCCTGTATCCGTTCACGTATCCGTTCTGCCAGGCAGAGTTCCGCTGGGCGGCGTCCACTGGCTCTCTCGACCTACGAGGGGCGGTGGGCGCTGTCCGGGGCTCTCTGCTCGGTGCCCTTGTCCGGTTTAGGGATGTTAAATTTTCATTAATTGACTAATCGAATAGTTTAGGCACCTCAGTCCTCTGCCCCAGGTCACAACCCAAACCCCTGCTTCCCCTCCTGTACCAATACCCTGCCCCAGGTCACAACCCAAACCCCTGCTTCCCCTCCTGTACCAATACCCTGCCCCAGGTCACAACCCAAACCCCTGCTTCCCCTCCTGTACCCCAATACCCTGCCCCAGGGCACAACCCAAAGGCCTGCACCCCAGTCCAGTGCCCCAGGACACACCTGCCTCCTTCACCCGACCTCCATCCCAGACCCACGTCTCCTCCGTTAACATCATGGACGAGTGCGGCCCTCGACCGCTTACCAAGACCTTGGCGTGGCCCCTCCCATCAAAAATGATTGCCCACCCCTCTGTGAACCGATTACATCCCTAGTCCCAGTCCCAGCCTAGACCCCAGGCCCCTCTGTGAACCGATTACATCTCTAGTCTCAATCCCAGCCTGGGCCCCTGTCAGCCCCTCGGTGTCCAGGGGCAGAGGGACCCCACAGATCCCTGCCTAGAGGAGCAGAATGGGGCAGCCCCAGCTAAAGCTTTCCCCTCCCCCATCCCCTGGCCGGGCTATATGGGGGGGGGCCGGGGAGAGGCAGCTTGTCTGGTGCTTGGGGGCTGGGGGCTCAGGGCCTGTCAGACAATCCAGCAGCA